TCCAGTAACTGGGTCTGAACTAGAATCTGGAGTCATAATAAGTTTTACCTCGGTGTACTGCTTAGCTTAATGAAATCAACTCTTTTTATGCGGCATTCTGGTAGAAAATTCCCTGACCACAGTCAGTGGCACAGGTATGTGACGAGATGGCTACACAACCTGAAACACACAAATTTATTGTTCTCTGAAAGAATTTTTCAAACCCTACGCTGTGATTATCAGTCTATTTGTTCTGCCTAGAGGTAGAATATCATGCTTCATTCTACGCAGCTCATTAAATTATCTGTGCAAGGGCTTATGATTCTTGGAGTGCCGATTTTGTGTCTCTTCAAATATTTCCGCGTGTCCACGCAGACCAACCACTAACAATTCAAATAGACCTAGGTTAGTTGAATACCAAATATTATCTGGCCATTATTTTCACAGAGTAAATCACATCACCATGGCATCACTGTAGGTTACGTTCAGAAACTAAAAATTGATGCTATGATAAATTTGGTCTGAAGGCCAGCTACTGTACGCTGAGTTGTACCGAAAAATTCACCCCATGCTCTTCACTCAGCTGACATTATTGGTATAGGGTGAGGAACTGTTTTTTTTAAATGAGAATAAAACTGTTTGTATTAACGTTCTTTATGAGAACAAGATATAAGTGAACAAACTATCTTTAACATATTTCTACTTGACGAACTGGCCGCTTCGATGAAAAAATTCATGGATATTTAAATTCTTCATTGGTGAAAGGTTTCGTTCCTAAGATGTTGACAAACCAAAACTGTCTTGTGTGACAACTTACCGGAGCGTTGTGAGTTTTGCCTGAGTATTCAACGAAATTCTTCAGTACGTATGAACATCCGGAAAGTTCTGAATGATAGGTTTTTGTTTTGATGAGCGTATAGTAGTGTTCCCGCTTTTATGTGGATGCCACTCCCTGTATTAATTATGATTCGGGATGGGGTATGCTAATTCACCATGTTCTACCAGTATGATGGCCGTGAGATCCAGCCATCTAGAACTGTGTGCTACTTAACCAAATGCCATTGGGATACAATAAACGATATAAGTTATTTGTAAATGAAAAGCTTGACCACCTTTAAAAACAACGGGTAGATGTGGAGTTGTGATTCAGGTTCGTTAATCCTAATCTTTTAGGTGTTTTACGGCAGCAATACGCTGCAGGGAATGGCGCTAAACAGACATCCTGGAATGAATTATCAGTCAAACTAAGCCCAGTTTAGTCCTCTAATTTTGAGTGTTTACGTTGTCGGACGGTCAACAAGGTAGCTGCTCATTGATGCAAGCCCATAGTATACGGTGCTGTCCGTTTGGCTGATTTACTATGAAAAAGAAAAAAAGAGGTTTTTTAGTTTTGATCGTTTTGTTTCCTCGAAGGCGAAATGCAAAAGAGAAAGTTATGTTCTCCTAAATTTGCATTCCCAAAGAAGGTTTCTTTCCAAGGAAGCTTCCATCGGGAAAGGGACAAGGTAACTCCATTTCACTGACTACTAACAATACTTGTGTTCTCTCTTAAAGGAATTCACACCCACAGCTGTTTGTCTGTTTGTTAGGTTGGAAAGGGTTTTACAAGGCGCATTCATTCGAAGTTTGTTTGAATCTCTCTTTACAATACTAAATTACCCATATGAGTTTTCAATGCACTTTGCGTAAAAAACTGTTAGGTAAAATTAGTGGCGACGCTCACCTGTTAAGCAGAAGGTAAGGGAAGATTTCGGTGGGCTGTTGTTTTGTTTTTGTTGGTTTTGTTCTCTTCGACCGTATCATTGCACCATGGCCTGGACACCCAACGGTAGCCTCATGGATAGCGTGTTTAAGCACTCAACGGTAGCCTCATGGATAGCGTGTTTAACCAGGAGAATTTACTACGATATCCCGAACGTCGACCCAAATGAAACTCGAAACGGCTTCCATTCAACACACTCAGTTGAAGAATATCACAAACAAGAGATCTCGCTGGGATTATTTTGTGACTATTTGGCTCATTTTTATCCTCCCATGGTTTCGAACTTAATGCTTGGTAGCTTACTGAAAAATGGTTTACAATAGTCGGAGGGGGACGCACTGATTTTGAGTCAAAATGACTCAGAATTTTCAACAAAAACAACTCATAAGGGCAAGCGACTTTCGTTTGCTCCTCTCCACGTGGATCAAAGAGCAATCAACTTTAGGCAAGCCGAACTCAAAGGCAATCAGAGACGGTAACGCTAACGCTGTTATTGTGTCTTGGACATAAAATCATGCCAAATGACCATAATCAGTTTAAATGGCTGGTACGTTGTCAGGATTAAAAGTGGTGATCCACAGTGTCCGGTTCGACGGTGGCAACTGAAAGAAATACGACGATGAAAATAATTAAGTTTGGTTTCAACGCAGCTTGTAGATCAAATGAGCACATAAGCATGCCATTTTAGCTTTGGTAAGGGCTTCACGGGGTGTCATGTACTGAATGAAAAATCGGCTTTTGATGGGGCAAGTCTGTGGATTTAGATTTGTTCTGCATGATAAAAATTAAATTTTATTTATCATCACTCCAGCATGTGTGTTTGTCCGTTTTTCTAATTTTAAAACTGACCCATTTAATTAGTTGGTTACAAACGAATAGCTTTCAAAGCATGCAACTTTTTCAACTTGAATTTTCTCATTCAACAAGCAGTAGTAGAGTTCAGTGGTTGCTGCTTTTATACGCCTTTCTTGATCGTCCCGTCCCTATGAATCAGTTTAAGCCAAATTGATTTCATTTACAAGTGTCAATAATACTCGAAAGTGTCCTGATCATCAGCCGCTCTTTTCCACTTATATACTTAAAAAATTCTGAAGTTATGCACGTAAATAGTGATTTTTACAGCACACTCAATTTAATCCTGGCTGAATCCTCTTTTTAAACTGATTGCGCTAGCAAATGCCACCTTACTCTTTATTATTTGGCGCGATATTTGAAAACTCTTCAACAGCTTATGTCTGATTGTGTCCTACCTGGGATTCATCAATTAGACTGTCGAAGAGCTTCTGCAAAAATCGGAAGAGTGTTTCGTTAGTACTTTTTGACTTNTGTTTCGGCTTCGTATTATTTATTATTATTTACCACTATTTACACAATTGGTTAACTGATTTCCTTTTTTCGATGTGCCTTACAACGGAGCAGAGACGCAATTGAGTTTTAGTTTTGTGGTCAAGCCCAGCACAGTAATAATTTCCATGAAATTATAAAGTTATTCAGCAGTTAAAAGTTCCTTGTATGATGCATACGGATCGGCAGGTTATAGAGGATTCCATTTTCACCAACTGAGCGAAAATTGATTGTGGTAGCGCATATTTGCCTTCTCTGTGAGAGCATACTGGCATCATTTTGTGCCTGCAGAGATGCAGCTGAAGTTCTGCTGAATTCAGCCATCTTGAAATACACCCGAACGACCACGAAAAAGATTTTGACCGAAGGCATAAAAATGATGAAGTAAAGGTATGACGTACATGTCCATAACGGAGAAGGTTCCTAACTGTTGATGATTTATTCATCTAATAGGGCACAGATCTGACAAATACAAATACGGCCAGCGACAAAATATTATTTTACCTCACACTCACGGTTGCATGCCAAATTTGCTATGACTGAGAGAGGGAGATTACTATGTGTTTCCTGCAGTTCCATAGGACTCTATTCCTCGATTTTGTGTGTGTGTGTGTTGTGAATGTTGCATCAAATCAAAATGCCTTTTTCGCCCGTGGTAAGTGAAAATTTGTGGACGGGTCGTATTTCCCCGTTGGGTAAGTGGTTTTACTTCAGATAGTAACTCTGAACTTCACAAGTATTTCTGTGAGCTGATTGGAAGGTGTAACGGTCTTCTGAGTGAGAATGGGGGTGTCGGAGTCGACTGTGATATTTTATCAGATACCTGAATGAATATTCACCTTGATGAATGATGATTTCGATTATTTTGGTGCCAAAATAAACATAGAGTTCGAATGTTCATTAAAATTTTAACCTCACGGTAGCGGTGGTTATTCCAGCGACTTACCCATCTTTTGCACCGTTCCTGTGTGGACTGTGCTGTATGCAAGAGAAAGGAACTATATCCTTACAATAACTCAGTAGCCGACCCAATAAGGATTGGCCACATGCCGTTTTGTTTGTCCGTCAGACCTCCTGGAAAGGGGTTTGATCAGATCTTTATTAAGTGCATTCGTTGGATATCATGAAAGTGGCCTAGAATGGTCAAGGGCACAAGAAGGATAAATGAATATTCAAGTGAACCAGTCCGACGGTTCGCTCATGGTCAGATCGTCCGAATAAGTCGATAGCTTACACTAAGAATAGTACCTAAATCAAATTCAATAGCTATGTAGACCGGTCAATGGACGCTTAGTCAAAAAGGTAACATACTGAAGCTGTTAAACAAGGGATATGCTGCTGACTCCTCCTCAAAGGTCCGAGCCTCTTTGGTGTGGGAAGTAATTTATATTAATGAGATGGTGGGCCGTTAACTTATTCTCCTTGTTAGTGAAACCCTGGGGATTCCCCACTAGATACTCACTTAATGCCCAACACAGATAGGAGATTCGGTGGTTCTCCAAACCATCAATTAGTTCCTATCCAGCAGTCTTTTCAAAGGGCTTGAAACAACAACCCATCTTCTCGATGATTTAAAGATGTATCTTGGAATATAACCTGATTAGTGCTGTGATACCATTTTAAGATCGGCTTGCATCACAACCGAAATGGCTGGAATACTAACGTACTACTGTTCACTGTAAAAGGTACTTGGATTACCACATAATCCCATGTAGTTCCTGTGGAGTACACATGTCTGAATATATGTGATGCCACTTACGTCCAATAAGGTGAAGAAGTCACCTCAAATAGGACCTGTAGTATTTCCACAAGGTTGCAAACAACTCTTTGACAGCCCACGATCGGTTTCGCTCTACTTGGCGAAAACGGTCGTGGGCTGTCGAAGAGTTTTTAGCAACCTTGTGAGTAGTTTCCTTTATGAAAATATACTGCGATATCTCGAATAGCGTGCCAACTGAAACATGAGGCGGCCTGTGTGCAGCACATTCATTTGTAGAATATCATAAACGAGAGATTCAGTTGAGTCTCTCGTGAAAAGCAAATTGATTTGCAAATTAGTGTATTTCTCCAGGACCTGTAGTTGTTTGGTTTTCGGTGCAATATCTATCAGCCGTCAGTTAATAGAACCTGGTCGGGTACTTCGTACGTAACTTTATGGTGCAATAACCACGTTACTAGTCATTATAAACCAAAAGCACTTAAGCTATTGTTCAGCTGATGTATGTGCACAAGGATTTTAACTCCCTCTGCCATTCTGAATAGAAAAAACTTATTTCTACACCGGAATGGAAAAGCCGCGGCAGCCCAGTTTAACGAATAAGATCAGTGCCTTATCTTCGAGTCACAAACTGTATTCCAATGAATATCAAGTAATCAAACAAACAGTCATTCAATCAGCCAATCAGTCAGTCGTGGTGGCTAGCAGGGTGGTGAAGGAACTTCTAAAGTCCAAGGCATGTGGCTATTTTCCTTCTTCTGAGTGTTTCTTCACAGAATAGTTTAAACTTGATTCGGCAGAGAACGGGACGGGTTGTTAGATAACAAAGGAAACCAGCGATGAAAAAGATATACTGTGAAACCTCGAATATCGTACCAAACGAAACATGAGCCAGCCTTTGTACAGCACATGAAGTTGAGGAACGTCGTAAACAAGAGCTTGAACTGAGCCTTCCGTGAAAACCAAACTGACTGTAGATGAGTGTATTTGTTGCAAGAATGAGTTCCTTTCACGTGAAGCTTTTACCTGAGTGTTAGTTAAAGTAAACAACAACAAAAATTTTCCTCATGACATGATTTACTCCTCAGAAAACCCATTTCGGCGTTGTTCAAAGATAAGTTCACAGTGTTCGCGTAATAATAGGTGAAACGGTTGCCAAGATTCATGTTACAAACTGACGAAACTTGGCGTGTGGTGATACAGAAGTGGACATTTGTTGAGTACAGTAGATGTGGGTGATGCAGGCTTGCAGCTCAACTCCGTTGGGAAATTCACATTATTGTTAACACAAAAATTACTGACTTTTTGCGGGACGACATTGATCAAGGCACAATAATGAAAATACGTCTATGAAAGTTCCTCAGACCAACTAACAACTGACCTTACTGGACCAATCCTCCCTTCCTTGTTGCATAGTTGCATGTTTATGTTTGCAGCCTAAGTGAATTAGTTGTTTGTCGCTAAAATGTGGATTGAAAGGAAACGGATGGGAGACAGCATTAACATGTTCATGTGCTCTTGCTTTCTTATCGAATAAATGCACACATCTGTTTAACTCAGGGCTGCCACTGATAAATTTTTCAGAACCTTAAGCAAAAAAGGGAAATCACACAACCATGTCGCAATTCGGAAGTCGATGTGCTAGGCTCGCCCAACACATACTCAGCCTTCCACAACAATGGCACTGCATAGGGCTTCTGTTGTATTTATAAATCTCTTCGAAACGCCGTTCCCTGTAAGACGGTCTAAAATGGAGGCGTAAACTGAGCCTTTATGTAAAACGATACCAATGTGCTTGGTTTCTCGTCTCAGACTCCTAATTATATTAGTAGTTACTTAGTCTTTTCGGGCGCACCACACACATGTCGGAACCAGGCTACAAAGAATGGAAGAGGTTGGAACTAGTAGCTACCTTGATCCGTCTACCGCCTCTTTATTTGTGACAATTAACATCCAGAGATAAAATGTGGTAGTATCCAGTTCACAGGATTTTGTTCACAGCTATATTATGTTCCCATGAATCAGACCCTATCTATTCTTGAATAACTCTGGTGGAATTTTACTCGGATCTGGAGCTCTGTCCCTTCCGATACCTGGAAAAAAGATAGAGGATATTCATTGACCCACAAGGTTTCTTGACTGACGGCAGAGGGTGAAGTGAATGACGTACCAGGTCATTTTGGCTGGCCTTTGGCTGACCTTCTGAAAAGATGACCTTTAGAATGTTCACCTCAGCGTCTGAGACATTAAGGCCTGTTTTTGATGGTTTGCCAAATATCTTGGTAACGATTTCACCGACCTTAATGTTTTGAAATGTGATTCCAGTAGGAATTGCAAAGGATTCTTGGAATGCCCATGAACGCCGTCGTCTTCCTGTTCAGAGTCACTTGTGACCACCAAACTCCGTTTCCCTACTGGTCAGTCTCGAGTCCTATTAATTTCCGCCTACGGATGCATTTATCTCAGTAATAAGTTGGTTTGCCCCGTCAGACCTCTAGTTTTTCCAGTGGAGTGACAGCGATCCACGTGTTGAGACACTCTCTGTGACGCTACTGAAATGGAGTGCGTTGCTGAACTCACAATGAGATATGTCGTCATTAGAGGAAGGTTTTTGGTGAATACCGGCTAGATCTGACTAGCCTGTAGGATTCGCAATTCTATGAAAACGATGTGGACAACCTTCAGGGGCATTCATATAATTCAAAGGATAGGTTTTTTTGCATGCAAAAGCATGGTCCGTCAAGGAGGAATTCCGCTACTTTTGGAATGTGTTTTTCCAAATGAGAGACTACCGCGTTGCTATCATGTAGTAATTCAGAAGACCTTTAGCTGATGATTTTGAACAATTGGCTCCATCGCATGCAATTAAGAAATGTATGATAGATTTGTCCAACCACAGCCGAGTAGTACGAAATCCGGGTCAGATTCACTTCGGAATTTCAGTGATTGACGCAAGCACCTGAAGTAAATGAACTGGAATTCGCTTAGTTGTACGAATTCGTATGAATTCAACTTTCCTTTCTCAGATCCCAAAACTCAGAGGTGTCTTGAGTGTGTGTTCATCTACAGGGACTAATTCGAGGTTGTATTCATTTCTCAGATGAGTCATATGTACTCATGCGCGTAACTTCAACTGTAGGTGGGATGAATACATCATTGGCAAACCTCGTTTATGATGCTTTCAACAACCTTGTGAGTAGTGTATCACGTCTATAGGAATTTTCCTATCCAAAGTATATACTAAGTCAGATCACAAAATGTCATAACCAACGCACGGCTTAAATGTACCCGGTACGCAATGTCAGGGAGTGTTTAATAGGATGATGAAAGCCAAATAATATTAAAACGGATGACGTGATAAAGGCATAAAACAAAAACAAACAAACAAAAAATCTATTTCACACAATAAGAAAAGAGAGAAGAAATGCGCACTTCAAACTTCAGGGTCTGACTCACCTATGTTCTTCTATCGGGGCCGTATCATGCAAGATGAATTTCAACATGTAGCCGAAATTTTCTGAGTCTGAAGCATGTCACTGAGTTTAGGCTAGTGCCAGTGGGTCAGCATTTATTGGGCTTAAAGCATTCACTTTTACTGTGTACGGTTTGCAGCAATATGGACTATTCGTCTCTTTCCTAAGATTAGCCAGTCTGCATTAAGCGAGTAACGAATTTATTCCAAAGGTCTTCGTTAAACCTTCTCGCACTAATACGAATCCTGCACAGAAACCTTCTGCCAAGCGTTGTGATGGCTAGAAATGCGGTGTAATTGTCAAGTTTCTAAACACCCACGGACACATTCATAAGGTTGGCTCTATCCTGAAAAAATCTGTTGGAAGCACTTTCAGAATGATAGATTTTCGTGTCCGATTGCAGGAGGCTAGCGATAACTGTCCTACCGATCCTCTCGTCCTCAAACGAAGCACGTTTTTCCTGGGGAATATGTACGCCATAAAGGTATTTTATGCTGGCTGGTGGGGTATGACGTCTACTGTTAACATAAGCATATGCCTGCTTGCAGGTGTTTAAACAAAACTATCGAACAACCGTAAGATTTCATTTGTAGTTCGTCAGCAAGTCCATTTAAGCTGTTACATAATGGTTAGGTCGATGACTTTGATGAGTTACCTTACATTCAGACTGCAATAAATTTAAACGCATTGCCGAACCAAATGATTGACAAACGTGCTTTTCAACATTTTCTTGCCGGCAACGCGTCAATTTATTGATTTTGTGTGCTCACTCAGACCTATTGAAATGCTGATCGATTTCTAGAAACCAGTCCTTCCCGCCAAGTTCATAATTTCCTTAACGTGGGTGAATGCTAAACCAGCGATCCGTACAAAAGCATTTCATGCCCAACGTTAAAAACATAAGTATGGTGATAACTGATGTTCAGCAAGGATTGGTTGTTTCTGATGGTGTTATTCTTACGGGCAGGTTATGACTTTGCAGTAAAAGCCAAATAATGTTCCGGAAGAATGGTCCACTATTTTCAGAACTATGGTGTGGATAAGCTGAGTTGAGTTATTATACGGAAAAGCGCCCCTGAAGCGCCAACTGACGAGACAAATTGAAACCGACAGACCTGTCTTTTGACCAAAAAATTAGGTATACCGAGAAGAAACCGTGTTATATGTCTTAAGAATGAAACCCCTGAAACGGATTATTTCGCCTACGAATTTCATTCACATTGGCCTTCCCGTTTCTAGCATAAACAGGAATGACTTTCTTCGAGAATCAAACGGGAAATTGATGAGACATGAGAGAAGAGAGCAGTTAAGTGTGATGATTATTGTGGAGGGAGAACATGCAGGATTTTTAGCCTGATTAGGGTGAAAACGCTTTTGGCCGAATATTCTTTATTAACAGTAAAGTATCCAGTCTGATTCATGGAAACGTAACCAATTTTTATTCATGCCTGAAGTGAGGTGAACGTCTCTAGTTCATCACTTGAAATTGTTCTTAGTGCAATCTGTAATTTGGTTATCAATAAGTTACATAACTTAATTTTGTTATAGACCTTAAGATTCAGTTCACCTACACCCACACTAAATCACCCTCAATTTATGCTGACTGTCCGTGGGCGACGGTGGTAAGATAGGGTTGTGCTGAATGCACGCGATCAAGTCTAAATAAGCATCTTGATGTGTGCAACGCTTCTTTTTAGTATAAGTGCCCACATATAAATTTACCAGGTTTTAAAACAATATCGCATCTTTACAGGTGCGATTCGGTGCAGGTTGGTTCAAGTCCAAAGGTTCGGGTCATCAACACTTTACATTAAATAGGACGATCTCAGCTCACAGTGACAGTAATGTGAGCATATCAGGCTTGTAATATTCCAGCTTCGAAAAGACCTTGACACCGCACACCGGTCAGAACACATTGTCGATTGAAAAAGGCTTCGATCACTGATACTTAGGAAGTTTTTGATTCATCGTGAATTATCAATGAATATCAATGTAAAGACCACAATAAAGAATCTGAAACTATACACTCATTTACAGATCAATTTGGTTTTCACGAGAGACTCAAATGAATCCCTCGTTAAAGATATTCAACAAATGAATGTGCTGCACACAGGCCGCCTCATGTTTCCGTTGGCACGCTATTTGAGATATCGCAGTATATTTTCATAGAGGAAACTACTCACAAGGTTGCTGAAAACTCTTCGACAGCCCACGACCGGTTTCGCCCGTTTTGGGGCTCATCAGTTAGGCACAGTCCCCGAGTTTCCGTCAATCGTATGTTTTACTTGAAACCAAGTTGCACGAAATTAGCGAAGTACAATCATTAGCAAACAAATTTGGTTTTACGAGAGACTCACCTGGAACCCAGCTGAATCTCTCGTTTGTGATATTTCCAGGCAACTGAATGTGCTGCACCAAGACACCTCATGTTTCAGTCGCTACGATATTCGAGATATCGCGATACATATATATTCGTAATGCTTGACGGATTTTCGGCAATCCTATGAGCCCCAAGAAGGGCTAAACCGGTTGGGCTGTTGAAGAGTTTTCAGCAACTTTGTGAGTGGTTTCCTTTATAAAAATATAGTATGATTTATCAAATATCGTGCCAACTGAAATATGAGGCGTCCTGTGTGCAGCATATTCAGTTGTAGAATATCATAAACGAGAGGTTCAGTTGAGTCTCCCGTGAAAACCCGCTTGATCTGCAAATGAGTGTATTTCTCGAAAACGGTCCAATTTGCGTTCAAGTAGAACATAAGGTTGATGGAAACTTGGGGACTGCGCCTAGCGAATGAGCCCTAAGAAGGGCGAAACCGTTGTGTGCTGTCGAACAGTTTTCAGCAACCTTGTGAGTAATTCCCTTTATGAAAATTTAAAATTAAACTTTTTAAAAGCTATTTCGCTGTTTGAACCAGAACCTCGAAAAATGCAGAATATTGCCTATATAGACTTTGAAAAATCAAAAAGATTTGGTCATATTTAATGTATACTGATTTTTGAAGATCAAGTGGTGGTATCCCTTGTACACACAGGAGATCGACAGTATAAACTGAGTCATTTGTGGTTGACAATATTTATAAAAGTGCACTTGTTTTCTGCGTGACCCTGAGGACCTGTGTTTAGTGACTCATCAGGCTTAAACTGTCTTATTAACTATGTGATTGGGTAAACAATCCGAAGTGTGAATGGAGATCCTCGGGTTAACTCGTCAAGGTAAGCTTATTAAAATGAATATAGGCCTAGATTTCCCAAAGAATTTTCTTTTATTACTATAGTCGCACTGAGTTTCCTCCAGTTTGCTGAAAATTTCAAAACAAACCTACGATGAATAATGCACAAAGAAAGGAATGCTCTGGGCAGGAAATGACTGGGATTGCGAAAAAACCAGTAGCGGAAACATCTTCTTTGCCCTTAGGGAAGAAATTGAAAACGCAGCAGGGTTTGTCTACCACAGGAAGAGGGTTCCATAATGGTTACGGGAAAAATAAACAATAAGCCGTCATCTCCAACATACAACATCGCACGTCCACACACAGCGACAGGAGACATGTGCGAGGAACCACAGCAAACGTTGCTCTTGACTGCTCTTGATGTAGACATTTGAAGAAGGAACGAGAGTAGCGGTTTTATTGTTCCCAGGGTACACGAATTGTGAAGTGTCTGAATATGGTGAAAGCCAACAATAATAGTTGAGCCTGTCGTTCAAAACGGATGTGTACAACGTGATAATAATTGGGGTGCGACAACCTGTGTAGAAAAATAAAACGACGTTTGCAGATAAGAAAACATGAACTAAATAAATGTTCAGTCATTGCTTCCAAATTATAAAATTATTGTTGGCATCTGAAAAGTTCGTAGGTAACTGACGTTGAAGAAGAGGCTTTCATGGAACGGACTGAAAAATAACTGGTTTGTAGGTTAGGGGGTTTATTAATGGACAGTTAAAGAAGACTTTAAAGAGAGGTTTTCACAGGTTTTTAGTGCACCGCATTGCATGGTGCGAACTGGCACAGGATTTCTCGGGCCAAAAGACACAGGCTATTGCTTCAGTAAAGTAAGCACTCAAGAGGTTTTGCCTTAAAAGATGCACCATTATGAGATGCAACCCTCATAATGACGAAACTCGGGTTCAGCATTACAAGAACGATTCCTTGTTGACCCACATCCAGTCAGAATGCGTAGACTAGGCCTTCAGGCGGGTCCCACAAAAAGGTTAGCTTGTAGACGGGGAGGCTAAACATGATGATACTAAAAGTACAGTGAAAGGCTTGCCAAATGTAAACACACAGAATCAGCTAAAACTAGATTGCGGTGGACAAAATTTGGAGTGCAACATAACTCAATCCAAATAAACATTTAAGAGATACACTACTGAGGGTTTGGAAGAACCCACTCCGTTGCATCGTGACGTTGAATTTCCAAGATAACACTTGCGGTTTTCATTGATTAGAGGATTCAGGATCAAGGGCTTGTGTTATAGGTGGACGTTATCGTTCGATAACTATTTTTATGCTCATTGGGTATGAAAGAGATACTAACGTATAAAATGGTGGTGGTGAATGTTGATGGACCAACCAACACTGTGGAAATTCGTCCCTCTGGTACTCAAAAACAAGGGATTACCGGTGATAGATTGAAGGGCAGTTCTAAAAAATATTTTCATGCTGATTATTAAAAATGGTTATCCGTTCAAGCAACAAAAATAGTGAAGCCCCGAAATATGAGTTTTTCTGCCGTTTTTTCTCAGACACAAATCGCAACTGGGGAAACAACTGAAACTTGAGGATAGTTGATGTTGGAAGTCGGTGGAATCATCCTGACCGCAATGGAAAGATAATATTTACCTGGTATTTCATCTTATATTTGCGTTTTTTGGTGTTCTTAGGTAGGCCAGTGATCTTTCAGTTGATGGGGCTAATTGAGCTGCCAAACCATCAATTACCCATATTTTTTACTATCTAGTTTTAGTTCACTCCGGTTCGCTAGGCCTACCTTCATAAGTCTGCAATCTTTTTACTAAAAAAACATCGTGTAAATTTAATTTTTTATTAGGTGTTCTGGCACTTCTACATTACTCTAACGCTGCCATAGAAAAATACACTAATGTGAGCTCACAAGCTATTATCAGTAGGAATTTGAGAAAAACAGAACCAACCACTTTTTGTTGAAGTGGCTAGTTACGCGATAGTTATGCGGATCTCGACAAATAACATTCGTTTTGGAGATATAATAAAAGCATGGAAACAGCCACCAGGATCCAGGATAGTGAATGCCTCGAGTTCAGTCATAGTGGAATATATTGTTCCAGTCTACAGTGATTTCAAGCATTCCGGTCATAAGTTGACGCCCCTGGGATAATTAAGCTAAAAACCTGCAGACAAATTTGTTTCACTAAGTTACACACCACCGTATCCATGTCTAACGTGCACGGAACGAGAATGACATTAGGTTATACATTCACGGAAGAGGACTTTGAGCCACGATGCTGCTAGTGGCGCCGTTTGGAAGGATTGTTACAGTCTTTAATTCATTTAGTTGATTAGCAGGATTCGGTAGGGGCGATTATTGTAACTCCTAGACTTTACAACTCTGCTCTACTCTTTTAGAAGGTGAACTGACATATTTCGGAAAACAGTTCCGAATTCCCCGGAAAATTAGCTTTTTAAGGAAGAAGCGATCAAAAAACCATACATAATTTGTTTGTTTAGTGGACTAGCTCACCTAAACGATAAAATGCTGAGCACGGATTGGAAAGTTGACAGTAAAGCATGACAGATTCAGAACACATGCTCCGTAAATCAAGATCCGAGTGAAATTTCGACGAAGATTGAGTTTGACTTGCTACTGAGCAAAGAGGTATTGTCTGCTCGTAAAAAACTCTGGATTATCAGGATTCCTCCTCAAAATAGCAGTTTAGTTCTCGGAAACCAAAGAATACTCTGGCTGTACAATGAAATCATTTGAAGTTTGCTGAATAATTTGACAACTTAGTGTTGGATTGTACTTTCCTTTAGCCTTTACTGGTGCGGTTTACTCCAATACCATATCGTCCATTATCTGGAATTGGGCTCCATTTAAAGATGAGTTGACAACATTTCTTTACACCTAACATGAGTTGAGTTACCAGTTGAGTCCTGTCATGTACATTCAGGCGAAATCAATCAAATACACTTGTTTAGCCGAGCTGTTCATCGCTTTTCAGTGTTTTGGGCATTAACTTACAAAAAACTCCCCTCATCTTAACTGACGTATCCTGTTAGGAAACTTCTAACAAATGAGTGTTTTGATTACGGCACAACCAACTTGTCTCTGTTGGCCACCTGTCCAAAATAAGTACCGATATTTCTCTTAATATTTCAAAGAAGTTTTGTGCTACTCACAGTTTGATACGAGGAAAAAATATACTTGCGTACCAGATAAGCGCGTCGTCTTTTTGTCGGCAACAAAAATCAAAACAAGCACCTCCTTTTACCCAGATTACTCCCTTAGGTTTCACCCGATAGCTCACCTAGGGTTAACAGCATCAAAAACCTGTCATCATCAGTGCAACCCAGGAATGATGCTCCTCGTGCGAATCAACTGATAAATTCTTGTGTTAGTGGTACGCTTACAGTACTCCGAATTGCACGCAATTTTCGGGAGAGCAACCACAAGTCAATGACTGTGACCTTAGAGAGTCTCGGTTCAATAACACCCTTGGCGGATTCTGGAAAGCAGATCACCTGGTAAGAAATGATAATCGGCTGGTGGACCGAAAAATTAGTACTCCAGTCGATGAAATGGTGGCGAAGGAACAGTAAACAGCACCGTGTTTCAGCTTTTTTTCCGTTCCACACAATCACTCCTCACCCAGTCGAGAACATAAGTACGTCTCTCAAAGTCGCTTGGCTCCCATGAGTATGTCAGACTCTACGAAAGACGTCGAAGCAGGTGCTCTCAACTAATCGAAGACAGTGTATCTCAGGCGACGGGTTCCCTTGCAACTCGGTTGTGATGAGCATATAGACAGTCACGCGTGATCCCACATGTCTGCAGATTATGCACCAAACTCTTTGGTTTACCATAGTTCCATCTGATCATCATGACTACACAGTGGGCCTACACTTCTCTTCTTAAGTAATTGCCACCAGAGAGTGGTACGACGAATAAATACCCGAGGTGACACACGTTCTGGAAACACAACTCACCGATTGGAGATAGGCGAATCAACTAAATCTCACAAACCATGACTCTCAACGTAATTATGCAGACAGAAGTAGCCGCCAACTCTTCCTTGGTGTTCATGCATATACCCTGGACTCGGATCAGAAGGCTTAGGTCCCGTTCAACTTTACCAGATGCTGGCTCATTGACTGTATTGCGTAGTACTTGACACTGAGTAGACAGAAGCTTTTTCATACTCTCTCTCCGATCTGTCGGGATGGTTGAACTAGACCTCGGGGATGCCAAGTCGTCCACGTTGTTTACCGTCGTGGGTGTCGTTGATTGAATTATCCTTCGGTAGACATAGGCAGCCCCGAATAGATGAGCTGACCTTCTGAGCGTTTTTCGATGGACTTGATCTAGCACGGGTGAATACGTCAGCTTCCGTATCAGGTAGTTCCTTGCGACTTCCATTGTTTGGTGCGGATTTAACGGAGGATAAGTAACCTCAATTAGCAGTTTCAACAGCTTCTGTTGATGGTTGAAATCTTTTCCCCATGACAGTAAAGAGGAAGACCAAATATAGTGCTGTGTCTGTCGGACCTGGAGGAGTGACGAGTTCCTCAGTGAAGCGAAAAGTTCCGACTGAGATGACGGTAGCCCGATGTTGTCTGTTCCAACAAATTACGAATGCTTTCGTCCTTCAGGCATCATGCCAGCTCTTTATACCTAGACCGCAGCAGCTATGAGCTCCTCCTTAAAGAGAGCCTTATTTCGGCACACACGACCGACGAAGACAAAGTCTTCCAATAAGGTTTTATGGAACTAGTGTCTTAGTTGTGGCGTCAACAACCAAAGAACTTCATCCGTTGCCACACCAAGCAACATTATAATGAGTGATCTCAACGCCTCACACCTCTGTGGCGGTGAACATCGGGATTGAGAATAAACGCTACACTATTCTGATAGGACTGTGCGATGTGTCGAACTAGAGATGACGGTGATTCAAACATCTCGGGAGATATAACCATTGTATCATGCAAAACCTGATCATACAATTTTGATACATTAACAAACACTAGAGCAAGATTAGAAGCAGTTGATGAGCGGTGGTAAAGCTGTTTTTTTCAGAGGTGCAGATTCAAAAACGCCATCTTGTTGTGGAAATATAAACTGGAGTAAACATCGTTGCAATTTATGGCTCTAACGATCACTCCAACTAAATAAGAAAATCATCAGATTTATGCATAATAATCCCTTCCAAAATGTAGGTACCATCATATATTTGGTTCTCACTGTATTCCAGTACTTCATCAAAAATAAGAAAATGCCCAACACTATGTTACTCCGTCACAGTTGGTTGTGAAAGCCAAGATCTCGTTGTAGCTTCGTAAACAAAGCCTAAATCTTGCAGGCGAATATCTTTTGGCGGCCAGGTGAATAGAATGAGAACTTGGTTGATGTTTGAGCAATTTAGTTCGACCGTCAGATACAGATCACATGAGAAATATATGAGTTCATCCGATTGACGAGTGCTGTTCATTCCACCTTGGGCCACAACCCCACCTTATGTTGCACTAAAAGTGAGCACACTAAGACCGGGATTTCGTTCTTGAAAAATGCCGTCATTAGGAGGCATGTTGTTCCTAGCTTATTCGGATCTTCCAGTCCCGGACTGTCCAATTCAAAAGACCTCAATCTGGAGAATAACCATATAAAATAGTAAATCTAACAACAGAAGGACGCGTAAGTTTTGGGTTCAGTTAGTTATCCGGGTAATAAGCAGGAAGTACTTATACTGCAAGTTCTTAATGTCTCGTCCGTGTGTGTGTTGCCGTTTACAGACCATTTCTTGGGCAAACCGAAATTTCATTTGAAGAATTTATTCAAATTTATTCTCCACCTTACTCGAAAAATTATTTGGAATTTATGTTCAGTAAAACTCGATGTGCCATAAGACCTTTATAGACTTAATCGAAAAAAACGTTGAGGATATTCGTAGATGAGCTTCGTTTGTATTATCAAGACGGGTGCCGCTGGCATTGTCAAAAACTGACTCTCATCCTAGAGGCGGTGAGCTCGTCAATCATGCCTTGGTCGACTACAACACGTGCGACATCTCGTCGTTGTACTTGTTTCATTTCCTTCAAAACGGACGCACAAGTTTAGCCGATAGCCTGGTAACTAGAGCAAGTCAGAGGAGGAAAGTAAGCTCTGCTTTAGGGAAGACAATTTCAACGTGGCAATCTTTCTAGTCAGCAAGACTTCATCTGGATCTTGTCGCACACACCTCTAGTTTACTAGCATCAACAGCTTTGTTAAAAACTGACATTTTTGACATCTTTTGTTTGACGTGATATTTGTGGATTGCTTGGTACAACTCACCTGGATGGAGGGTTCCAACAATTGTACTGTTAGCCTCGCTAAAATATATGTGTTCTACGTGTCACTCACTAATCCTCAATAGCATAGCAACAAATTTGTGTTCCCAGTCGCGTCTATCTTCTCAAACTTACTTGACTCTCTCTTCAAGTAGAGGATCTCATTCTCTGGACCTTTATAACTAGTTGTTTGAAGCTCCTTCTACTGGTCTTGTTTGTACGCGTTTCCATCAATCCCAAAGACTAGTCGCGTCTATCTTCTCAAACTGACTTGACTCCCTCTTCAAGTAGAGGATCTCACTCTCTGGACCTTTATAACTAGTTGGTTGAAGCTCCTTCTACTGGTCTTGTTTTGTACGCGTTTCCATCAATCCCAAAGACGATTCAGTTCTAGCTTGCCCAGATTACCAATAGTGTCAAACGATTTAAACCGGTCTTATTTAGGCTGTATGGAAAAATTGCAGATGAACCCTGGAATACTGCGAAGCTGTAGTTGGTTCGAGCATTTAAAGCTTGATTAGACTGCAAAGGAATTTGTTTTATCTTTGATCACTATTTGCTACTACGCATACTATGAGAGCGAAGAATACGTTCCTGTCCGAAAATGCTGCGAAATCCGATCTGTTGACAATACGAACGTGTCGAATTAATTTTTCAAGATCTCAATCTTAATTAGGTGTCCCACATTTTCGGGACACAGTTTTCTGGTGTTGATATACTGATGAATCCAAAATTTGTTATGTGAAGTGAAGCACTGGCTTAATTTTTCACGTTAGTATCACTCGTGTATCCCACCGTATTCTTTTAACGGTCAAAGAGGATGAAATTTTGCCAGTTTTGAAGTGGACAGCACTGCCAGCTGCGTCAGCGTTTGTTCCTGACTAGTGAAAATGCGTAGTTGGTTTCAGCCTTGAGTTTCTTTGGTCTGTTGAACAGCTCGCCACAAAAGCTTTAACATTCTCTTACTTACGAACACCTAACCATATGGTAACTCATGTCCATTCAGAGTTTCTTACCACAATACATTGAGCACAATACTGTTGGAAATTTGTACTTTGAGCAGCTTCCTCCACAAATACTCCTAATCAGCGTAGTTTACCGTACAAACCATGAGCATTTTCACTATTTCAGTAAAAACCTCGAGTGCAATGATGGAACATCGTACCCAGTGTCTGGCATCAGTACACGTGGAGTTGGCTCGCACTTGTCAAATTCCTCGGACGACGAACTAGACCCGCAATGTTGTGGTGCTTTTACATCGGTCTCTGACGTATTTCCACCGCGACCACCTGAAAGCTCCACTGAATCACCTTCTGTGATAATCAAGAATAGCGAGGTCTCACCAAACGACTGGGAAGAACTATCAGCTTTCGACTGGCCACCAAATGAAACGAATAGACAGGCAAAAGTTGAAGAACTTTCGATGGAAGAGGCCCTCAAAGAAGCACAAACGGAACAAGCGTCCAACAAAAATAGTGAGACCGTCCCAGATGGTGCATTGGAGGACCAACTTGAAGCAAAGCAGAGCGCCGCATTTGATGTAAGTTGATAATGATCGCAAAACAAGAGGTGACGGGGGACTAATAGTGACTGAGTGTAATACGGGTGGCACATCACAGCAGTAGCTGTGATAAGCCGTTAACAGGCTATAATTGCTCTGATTATCACGCAATTTTTTCTCTTCAAGACCTTTTCAGCAAACTCATCATAAGAACGGGATATAGTTGAAAACACAAATTCCTATTGCCTAGAAAAGTAACTACTGTTTTCAAGCAGATAAATTTCAGTTTATATAGTACCTACACAGCTGAAAAATCTCATAGACAGGAAACAAACCTGAACCATCTGAATTCCGAAGTCTGACGGAAAAAATATTTTCCTCACTTGATAGTGTGTGTTGAAAAATAATTGGTTTGCAGGAGCACATTGCACTGGCCACTACCTGGGTTTAAGATTTAATTCACCCTGCCTAATTTCGCTCCTCGGATCTTCAAATTTACGTCCAAAATATGTATTAAAAACTGAACTCGTCTGTTAGCCAGCAGGTTAATTAGTATAGTGGAGCTAGTTGTTTGTCTTTACCACATAAGTAGCAGAATGATCTGTGAAGAAAAAATAAAAAGTTTCACTGTTATACCCCGACCAAAGTTAACAAGCCACTGTAATTTTCAAGCAGTCAACACAGAGTATTCGACAAGGTTTTCCATCATTATCCACTGAGCCATTAGCTGGCGAATCACTGTGGAATCCAAACGAATTAGTTTGACTCAATCCAGATGTATGGAAAATCTCCTGGGAACAATCTGCCCTGTTAATTCACTACTTCAACAGCGGGCATAATGTGTGGCAACCGTTGTCACCGTAATAAAAAAACCGAAAGATTATCGATTTCATGTTGTACTGTATTTACTCAGTCAAAATTCTAGGTCGTATACTTTTAGCAAATGGTGTTTATGACGTAATTGCGAAATGTGATGTATGCAACGTATTTGTTCAAAATTGAAGACGTCAAGGCTCCGTCACAAAAGCATGGTTGAGATAGGAAATCAGATATGGATAGCTGATTTATTTTTTTTATATTCTGGCTGCATAAAAATTGTAATAAAGTGTATTTTGCTGACATTACAGTAGAAATACTCTTACAGCTCACTAATGGTCTCAACCTTCGGATAAGCGTAGTCTTCGAGATCACAGTAACAGCAAGTTCCACTTGAACACTAAATTCTACGCGGGTGGTGAGGCACACTGTAACGCGTGACTCAGCTGGATCTCTAATTTGATCCACTCTTCATATACCATAAACAAACAGCTGAGTCGATTGCTAACATCAATTTGATTTCTAAATGAATGTATTTTGTCCAAAATAAAGTGTATTTTTCGCAGTGCGGCCGCATTTATTCCTTTAACCTCACAAAAAGCTCTACCGAGTCTGTTCAGTGAAGTACAAAATATGTTAGTTATGTAATTAGGCAAAGATTCACAATGTTATCACATCGATTTGGATAACTGAAATAAAGGTCCAACAGGCGTCAGTGAGCAAACTACGTGTCTTGCTAGTACACTACGACATCCGTCTGAGGATTCCATCTGACTAAATGGAAACAGCTATCTTTTATAGCTTTGCATGAGCGTTTTACTGTTGCTTTCGATCTTTACAGAAGGTCATTTTATTCGTGGACACGATGTCATTGTGGAGCCATTTGAGGGATGTTGACCTATAACATCAACAAGGTTCGTGAATGATTCCTCAGCTTTAAGGAATTTTTGGCACAATTCTGGCTGGGCATATAATATTTTTTGACAAATCTAAAGTCTGCTTTGGGAGCCTCAAAACCGTTTCTGACGCCCATCTCATGATAGGCTCGAGCGATGTATTCCTTAGTCATGCTTAAGAATGTAGAAACCGGCTTGAAGTCGTTTTTATCCGTTCCTATATGCTGTAGAATTTCTACTCAAATTATCTAGATGTGACTGAAGCATCATTTTACGAACTATTAGTAGCGGTAAAACTTTTTGTTTCACTAAATTGCTCGAGATATGCATATCTATCATCCCAGAAACCACAACACAGATATTTGACCAATGTAAAAATATCTTCATTTAAACGAATAGAATGGGTCGTGGTCTGTTTCTGAGTCAAGTTTCTCCCATCTTTTTCGCTCTTTCAGTTACACTCCTCACTCGCCTCCTTTTCATGGGCCCAATCTCTGTTTGCGCAATGTGCTCGGGAAGAATTAAGCCAGCCAATTAGAGCGGAGTCAATACTGGATCATCACCTTTCTCGTGTTTGGCGCAAACGAGCCAGATGTATGTTGGCTGAAGATCGACTGGAAAGACAGGACCGTCGGATACGAGAAAGAAGCCCTGAGGAAGTCCTGTCTATCCATCAAGTTGGGAGATATCCCAATGGATGCACTCCACATCTTGATCTTAGGCTATCAAACCACTTGCAGTGTAAAATGGACTTGAAAGGTAACTTTTATTGAAAGAACTTTTTAGAAGTTTCGCCGAAGGTACACGATACAAGCAGGTGTAAAACAAGAATCATCGAGTAACATGTTGATTAATTATAGGTTGTCCGATTATGTGCTGCAGTCTATTTGGCTTGCTAGATATTTTAAACCAATTTAAAAAAAAAACAATCAGAATACGTAGTGTATGTTATTCTGAAATGTGTGTGGGAAAAAGAAACGTAGTACGTAATGGCCACAGGACAAACTTATTTTTCATTTATATGCACCAAGTTTGTATGGTATCTGATATTCATATTTCACACGATCCCGAATGGACCTCTGTGAATGTTTGCTTGAACTAAGCAACTGGACTACCAGTAAGCAAGACACCATTAGTCAGTTTTCCTGTAGCGCCTAGCTGTGCGTTAGGTAGCGAGGTACCCAGTTGAGTGAACAAAGTAACGGGCATCAGTGCAACCTAAGCTATGAAATTTGCGCGTACAATTACTGCGTAAGAACCATCCTAAAAGATCAGTCAATTTGCGTTCAATAATATGATTTTCTGATCCACGAAATGACTCGTTACTGTTGTCCTATAAAACCGTTGATAAGACCTGATGTTTAAGTCATCAGTCCATTAAAATTTCATTTTTGCGGATTAAGCGCAGTGTTTTCTTGGGCGACACCAAGCTGGGTGAAAAAAGTTTGCTAATTGGGTATCTAGTTGGCTTTTTGGCGCAAACCAAGATAGAGGATTTAAAGTTCAGCACCACTGACCTAGTGTGGCTCAGGTGCGATCAGGAGGGAACCGTAGCTTCATCCCCAATTTTGACCGTACACTACAAGATCGGAAAAAGGTTTACTTAAGCTGGTGAAAAAGGATTCTACATTTTCAACAGAGCTGTTTTTCATTCAGAAGTGGGTTATAAATGATAAACCTTCCGAGCTGGTGTTGCCAGTGGTGTTTGGACGAAGTAATTTTGTTCTACAAGGATCACAACCACGGGCTGGATGTACGAGGCAAATTAAGATGAGCGCGTCTACAGCATTCGTGTATGCCGGGAGGTGTTGCTTTATCAGTCCATATTTTTTGGTGACTAGAAAGCCTGATTTTTATGATTTTTCATGGCGGTGCACCCTCATTAGAGCGTGGTTGTCCGTCTTAAACTACCAGAATCGTATTTACCGGAAATCGCTTACCATGTCTTGCTTCGATTCGTTAGCTTAACCATACTCGATACACATCAAGCCCCCGACTGACAATGCATTCCACTGCACGCAGTAACACGGTAAGCTGCTCGGTCAGTAGTGCTTGCCTCTGTTTTGTTTGTGAAAGGTAATCCAGTGACCGGTTTGACATCATTTTGGCAAAAAAATCATCATTTCTAGAAGACATAAAAGATATTTACGTGTGTTTCTTGGTCGGGTCCATTTTCTTGGCTTAAGTTTCCTTCTGTATGAAATAAACACATTCTTGTTCTGAATTATCTTATCTAGTTCTCACGATTGTATCGATTTTGACAGCCTAACTTCCTTATGGATCTTTCAGTATATTCAAGCAGGAAAACGTATTCCATTTGAAAGCGCTATATTAATTTCCTTATCATATTTCTCCGTTAGTTTAAATAATGCCAATCATTTTTATATGCAACCAGTATTCAAGTCGCTTGAAATCAAATTAACTAGTTAGTGTGAACCTGAGCTCTTTTATCTCGTTTGATGAGACTGCCCACTAGTTAACTCTCCAAGAGCTGAGTACCCTGTAGTAAACCTGAAGTTCTCGATTGGGCTTTCGGGCTGTAAATGAGGTTAATCTCTGCCGAAACACCGAGGGGGAATGTACAGCCGTTTTGTTCACATCGGAAGGCATCATCAGTGGCACCTCAAGAAACGCCATAGAGATTCGAACTCGCAACCTCCAGGCTGGCAGCTGGGGCCCTAATCGTCGGGCTAGGAGCAGTTGACAAGCAGTGTGATTAACCCGGACTAGGGCAGAATATAGCGCCATCGATTCCAAAATCGCGGAATTCGCATGACTTACTGATTTTTTTACTGGTTCTCTGAATGATGAGTTCTCAAACGGGAGTTCCAAGCGTCGGGAGGATTATTATTTCGTTCGAGCTACACGTCTGTTACTGACAAAAGCCATATAAAAGATAAAATAAAATGCTAAATAAAAGTATCATGGTGAGAGTTCACAACATGATTATGTTCACTGCGTGGAGTTTAACGAGGGTTGGATTTAAGGATCCCACGCAAAGTTGTATTTGGACTCTGCCAAGAGCTGTTGCCGACATATTTTACTAAACATTGTGGGATGGAGCGAAAAAGGGTTGCATGATTCTATGGTCAAATGACAATATCAATTCGGCGGAAGCCGCTTTGGACCACATTCCGAATATCTTATAATGATCCAGCCATTTTGGTCACATTAGAAGGCAGCCGCAGTGGCACCACGGGAAACACCCCATTTGCACCTGCGCTCTCACCGAAGGCCTAAAACTTGACGGCTACAGTGCTTGATGCGTTTAGTAAATCTTTGGACATTACTCAGCTTACCACTGAGATTATCACCGCATTTCCTTTCATATGAAATAATGTAAATGGGGAAATCTTTTGCCAATTTCCTTTACCTTCAGGGTGTTCACCTAATAAGTACGACTTGGTAAAAGCGCACGGAAGGATGGATTTGTTAAGGGAAAATGGCATAAAGCACGTTCATTGTTGCGGAAAGTCATGGAATCGCAGACCCACGAGCTGGATTCAGTCAGGACATCTGGCAGCTCCTCCGGTAGCAAAGACACCGGCCACAACATGCCAGGTACACTGTGGAGAATTTCATTATTGTCAGTGTCACCACCACCATCATCATTACCATCATTATTACCACTACCACTATCATTGCTGCCAAGCCCATTTTAATCTGCCGAACTTTGACGGACACCTTCTTGCGCACGACGAAACAGAACATCAACAGCCGTCCTATATTTCTTCACGAGACCAACAAGCCTGCCATCCAGCAAAAACTCCTGTTTCGGACCTCAGTCACGGCTTGTAAGTTTGGTGATTTTACAGGGCTACAGTACTTCAACTCTACACACTTTCCATTCCATTATCCAAGGGATGACCTGAATTGCGTGACGCACAGTATTGTGCGTTTTCAATCCGTTGGGTGTACAGTTTGAGAACTACCTGGATGTTAGCAACAGCGAACAAAGATGCTAATCTAGTCTAGCGTTAATATCGTCGACACAAGAGAGCTAATTTTCCTGCTTGAGGTATGCTTCAATGGTTTTTTCTTAGTACGATGGCAATTTCAACTTCAAGGATCACTTGAGGTTACAGTCCTATTTGAATGCTGATGAAGGAAAGACCGTATGTTGTTACTTTAAACATTTTGTTAGAAAAAGAGCCAACTTCTGAAGCCACACTCGGGTGTAACAATAAAGGTGATTGCTCTTTAGAAACCTACTCATCCGTGTTGCAAATCTACAGAAACGTTACTCCTCGAAAAGTGTGTTCGTCTTTTGAGGACCAACCTAAGTCGAACTGGTCCATGAAAATAAATGTTCTTCCCTAATTGGCTTTTCCGATAATTTGAAAGTATGTTAGTGAAGGAAAATTTCCAGGAGAATGATCACTGTGGGCGTACATGGCTTTCAAAAGTCGTCTTTGTGGTCACCTTTGTGACTGAAATGCCAGCAAGTTTAAACATCTTGGAATGGGCAGTGAATTATTGCTGGTATGGAAATGTACCATGTGGAAAGTTTTTAACTAACAGTAAATTTTGTTGCACGTAAGTGGCCACTTCACAGTCCTTCGTGTAACATGCTGATATTTACACAATGACAAATTACATCAACAGTCTTTAATGAAATATTAGTCTGCAGCCTTTGTTACAGCAAAGCAACGATAAATTATTCCTTTATCGTAAAAGGTTTTTTTATTTTAAACGAGTATGGAAAAATTGATAAATATTCCTTGCTAGTTGTTTGCAAGGACTCATTTGCTGAGTCTTCCGAAACCGGTTTCGCCCTTTTAAAGCGAGCATCTTTATCAGCAATCCAATAAACAGAGGAAATAACCTGTTTCTGGAGTTTTTACCCTGAGGTACGCTTCCCCAACCTGAGGTAAGTCTTTCCTCTCTGGCAGAACTTGATGCTCCACAGTTTTGAACATAGTAAGGAATTTCCCACTACCAAATTTCTATAAAAGTACAAAGCTGAGATTTGCAAATACAGCCTTTTGTGCAAAGTAAACATGAATTTATCTACCAAATTTGTAGAAGAAACTAAATCATTCTGCAGCATACCATGCTAAAAATGCTCAGTCTGTGCTGTAATTGACGCTTCCGAAGGAGTCATTCTAATTAATTTTGTCATTTCTTATTGAATGCTTAACAAAGTGATTCTTTTAGTTTTCTGTCTATCATCCCGTTTACAGGAATATAGATAGGAATCCTCAAAGCAACTTCAGCCCGTATTCCTCCTCCTTGACGTCATCTTTTTGTCTTCACAAAAGATGTCCATGTTTGGATGGACGTCAAAGATCATCAGATTCCCAGTGCAAGATACATAGAGGTAGGTCAGATCGTTAACGCAAAAGTGGCTTGAATGTAGATGATGAACGGTGTCTGGTTTTTTGGTTCGCAGTACCTGTTTCGTCTAATAACTATTGGATGCTTTTGATTATGCGTTGACCAGGAGTCTGGAGATTGTTAGTCATATGCCTTGGGACAAAAATAATTCACTGAACTAATGGGTGAACACCATTGTTCTATCAAGCGATTCTCTTTGTCTTGACTGTAAACTTGTAGACTTGTAAACTGTAAAAGCCAAAATAATAGTGAAATAAGGTGACTACTTTTACGCAATCTTTTTATGCTTCAAACATGATGCGGTCTTCATAGGAGACAAAAATTAAGCAGTGTTGAAGTGAATGCTCGGCCCATGGTCGCAGTAACTTCGACTGTTTCATTATAATCAGCGCCAGAAAAGTCAAAGATTCAACTATTTGAC